TCATACAGATACATTGAAGTGTTTAGAGTAGAAAAAAAACTCTGTAAATATATTTGTCTTATGTTTATACAGTATGTATATCCATGGAAGATTGAATAATAACAGGAGTTACAAAGATAGAGAGAGGGGGGGGGTCAAATAAGAGGTGACGGTGACACAACAGTGAACAAGTTTCCCCTCGCCCTGCGGTCCGTGTCTTATCTCCATGACGACTCTCGGGATGTCAGGACTGCAAGACACAAAAATAAGTGGGGATGATGATCCCTTTGTTTGGGAAAAACACTTTTTCCACTAAGACACAGCAGAAGAGAGACCTGGCTCGATTAAGGTATTATTATGTACACACGCCCATGAGACACAAACTGACACAAGAACAGTTAATGGGCCCTCAGTCCCGGAGAGGACGTGGACTATGACTGAGGTCTCGTTGTCATGTTGGTCACTGTTAAATCGAGATGCGTTTGTATAATCCCATAAAGACAACACCACTCTGCAGACGGTAAGGAGAAACGTCAACACACGTCACTTTGACCTGTCAGCGTCCGTATCATGGAATGAATAGATTGATTGGTAAGTGCTATGATACAGTCTATATTGGTTTTAGGTGGTTTGAATGGTCGATTGTGAATTAACGGTAAAGAAGACGGTCAAAGCACTTTAGCTAACTAAAAACTTTATGTTTACCTCCACCAAGGAGGTTACGTTTTCTGCGTTTGTTTTTGATTTTGCAGGATTACACATAAATTCACAAAATCAGTCTCCATTACATTTTGTGATGGAGTGGGGCATGACCCCAGGTAGAGACCCTGTACATTTTCGTGCAGTTCCAGGGAGTTTCCCAACATCTTCCCTGATTTCTCAGAGAATAACTCATGGATCTCGATGCAAAAAAAAGTTGAATTCAAATAAAATATCTGGATCTAGTGAATTTAAATTTGGTTTCGTAAGGGGACTGTTGGGCCTTGGCGGAGGTAAGCACTTAGCCATGTGTCATTCTGGTGTTATTAGGACTTGGGTTAAGTAAACTCGTCCTAAATCTACAGTACACTGAGGCACAGCGCAGGTTATGACAGGTCAAATGTTAGGTGTGATGACAGCAAAAGAACCAGATGCATCCATCCCAACGGAGGAAAAGAAAAACACTGTAACAAACCATGGCCCTGTGGCACTACTTCTGAAATGTATTCCTTCTTTAAACAACAGCAAAAGCTCCTAAAACAAGTTGCACTGAAAGAAAACAGAAGGATACATTTCTCTGTAGGCAAACAAGGGCCGAGGCTTCACACAGGAAGAGAATGGGACAGTGCAATACATTTTTGCAGAGCCCTTGGAGAAAGGCTCTTGCTCTTTGGAAGTCAAGCGTCACCAAAGTACAAGGCATCGTATAGATACAAACCCCCTCACATATAAACCGTATCCATACATAAAAGGCAAACTGAAATTACATAGGTCTCCTATCTTTCCATGTCACAGTATTAAAAAATCAGCGCTACAATCACAATGTCTGCCACAGCGCTTCCCAGGGCGATCAATATGTGACATGGAGACACAGCAGAAAGCAGCTGTCGGCAGACGATTGTTGACTTAAGGGTGGGAAGGCAACTCTGTATTACAGAGGAGGAGGAGAAGGAGGAGGGGAGGATTAGGAGCAAGTTCCCAGATGCATTAAAGTATCACAGAAGCAGCTACTGTTAGTCCAGAGGCAAACAGCGAGAGAGGAGGAGGAGGAGGAGGGCAGGGAGCAGAGGCTACGTGAGAGGATGATAGACCCGGAGCATTAAAAAACACAGGAGTATGTGACAGAATGCAAAGAGGAGGGTGGAAGATTAAATTCGGATTAAATCAAATGTCAGAATGTGGGAATACAAATCAGCAGAAGACGGAGAGTTACGTGCAGAGGAGAAGTCAGTGGAAATAGCAGGGACCTCCACCGCACAGATGCTTCCACTACCCAACACCAAAAACACCCCAAAACACCCAATCGAGTTGGCGTAGAGAGTAAAGGGGGCAAGGGCCTCTGGGACCAGAGGGTGGGCAGGGCAGGAGAGGAGCAGAGCAGGATGGACGCGGGAAGCAGCAGGGTCTCACACATACACACCCTCAGGGTTGAGACTGGACACTAGAGGGTTTTGCAGGTTGCGCGGATGTCCTAGGAACTGTTTGGCAGTGGGGCGAGGTGGTGATTCCACTGGAGTTAAACTGCGGCCTGACAGAGAAAGAGAGAGAGTGAGACATTTGTTTGGACTGACGTGTGCATTGCTGAGTAAAAGCTTTATTTTTTTGTTGTTTCCATACTTCCATTCTGGTATCCATCTTGCAGAAGATGTGCGAGCTCCAGCTGCTCCAGTTGCTCCTGGAGCTCTGTGCGCGAGTGGGTGTGTGTGGGCAGGACACCTGTCTGCTGAATAAACTGCTGCAGGTTACACTGCCTCAGCTCCTTGTTCAACTCCTCCAGCTCCTCCTGTTTGGCCTGAGATGGAACAAGAACAGGGATCAGTGAGGAAAACAAAAGGACGACTGAGCGTCACTGCTGACTCACTGAACACTGGGGACTGTAAACTGAAAAATACTTTTTGAAAATGGGATGTAAAATTTTAAAGAAATCTCATTCTTAGTGAAAAAGCAGATCTACTTATTCTCTGCTATTCTTGCAATGGTCATTTCACCACAAGGGGGCAGCAAAGGCTACATGTCTGTTCTCAAAGTACTTGTCATTAAGCTCCAATGTTGAGTCATCAAAGTTGCACAACTGCCATCAGCAGTTTCCTGATTCCTTCAGATTCCAGCAGCCCTTGGCGCCGTTCTTAGAGATGGATGCATCATTTAGCTGCTGCATTTCAAAGACAAGTCACAGGGAGAGATATCCATCAGCTCCAATTACTGAGAAGATGGAGACCGATCCTCCTCCGAGACGGTGCTGGATCTCACCTTTGCGCCCACACATTAAACAAACAGGCCACTCAATCAGTCTTAATCGACTATCCATTTGTGTGTAAATCAATGTGTCTGCATGCAGCTCAGGAGGCAGCAGCGTTACGCTATGGCTCCTGTCCCCAGTGTATGTGTGTGTGTGTGTGTGTGTGTGTGTATGCACATGTTTGTCTACAGTTATGAGGGCCAATTTTGGTTCAATACCATCCTTGTGAGGACATTTTCATCGGTCCTAAAAATGTCAAAGGCTTGTTTGAGGGTTAAGACTTAGGTAATGGTTAGAATTAGGTTTAGGTATTTACTTATGATGGTTAAGGTTAGGGTAAGGGGCTAGGGACTGCATTATGTCAATGAATGTCCTCACAACTATAGAGAGACGCGCATGTATGTGTGTGTGTGTGTGTGATGTTCGACTGAGGTATCGTGCTGACGCAGATCACACCTGCAGCTCTGCCTCCATTAACCTAATGACAGGAATGACATTAATGCTGCACTCGTCAGCACCTACTCTTGAAACACTAGGAGCTTCGGCCAATCAGCTCACCGGTGAAAGACGCTGCCAGACATCAACCCCCCCGTCAGAACTATGGACTGAATATATTACGCAGCATCATGTTACCAGTGATAACATGGTATTTACAGGAAATAAAAGGATCTTATTGCCTTCAGGCAATTACGGCCTGGGTGGCAAACTGCCTCTGTGGTTACTTTCATATCAAAAGCACTTAAAATACTGTGGGCTACATGTAATGACACAGTGGTAATATTAGATCATTTGTAAGAAAAACACAAAAGCCCCAAAAAAACCTTGGTTTCTGTAAAAAGGGGCAAATTGATCATGACATAAAGTCCGTCTCCGTCCCATCAGCCAATCACTAAATCTGTTGTGTTCACTGTCAAAGTGAAGCACTTCATTTTCTTCAGTCTGGCTGTTATGTATCTGCATAATTCCATGAGGTTAGTAACATCGTCTTCATCTGGGATATGAGGAAACTCATAAAGCTTCATTTCAAACTGGATCAGGCTTTTATTGATACAACTGCTTCTACGAGACCCACCAACAGTAAACAAACAATGACATCACCAACTATGATGCGTTGAAGCTGAGTAGATCCAATAAAATGGTCTTTTTTTTCTCCCGGTCAATCCAGTTTAATGTCTTTTTTCCACAGGGTACAAGAATAGGATACATGTCAATGTAATATCAACACCAATAGTGACCATGTGTTCAGAACATGCATACAAGACCATAGCTGCCAAATCAGTTCAGCTGCACTGTAAATAGTCAGACAATAAAACATTTTCACACAACGTAGGATGAGTGAACAGCATTCGTGTTATCCTAACTTCGTTGATAATTGTTTCTATATAAAAATGCCATAATAAATCATGTTTCCTTTAGACTCAGTACTTCTTTCCCTTTTTATGAGTGTCTCTGTACTGTTGTGTCTGCTGCAGTGTGCCGGTAGGAGAGGGATACAGGTTTACAGATTGGCTACAAGAGGGTCTGTGCTACGTGTGCAACACATGGGGCTGATGTGGATTTATAGCCCTCTCTCCAGAACCGTGACCTCTCTCCTTACCTGCAGCAGAGACTCTGCCTTCCCCAGAGTCTTGTCAGTCTCAGATATCCGCTCCTCCAGCTCCGTCCCCTGCCTCTCCTGGCTCTGGAGCTCTTCCTTCACAGCATCGAGGGAATCCTCAGGCCCGTTGACCGCCGCTTCCGCATGGCTCTCCCGCTGAATCTCTTGCTCGAGCTGAGCAGAGCGTACAGAGAATTCGTGGAGCCGTCGCCCGCAGTCGTCTAGCTTGGCGTGGAGCTCCCCCAGCTTCCGCCTCATCCCTCGCTCTTTCTCTAACTCTGCTTGGAACTCCTCCTCCCAGTACTGCTCGTGGGCAAGCTCGGCCTGGTTCCTCCTCATCACTTGCTCGAGTGTGTCCACCTCCTCTTGCAGACGAGCATCAGAGACTGGTGAGGGACAGGGAGATGGGTAAGGACGATCCCAGGTATGTGAGTCTGTCTCTAGGGCTTCTAGCTGGGCCTCGATGGCCCTTAGTCTCTCCTGTTGCTGAAGAACTTTCCTAAAGACCTCCTCTTTGGATGGGCCTATGGGTGGTGAAGGAGAGGGAGATGGAACATGAGAGGATAGAGGGCTGGGAGAAGGGGATGGAGAGGTTCTCTGTTCTGGAGAGTCCCGAGGAGACCTCTTATACTGATTTGCTTTGGTTCTAGGGGAGGTGGATGGTCCCAGGTTAAAGGTGAGTGCTTTCTTAGGCTGGCTGCGTTTCAAAGGCTCTGGCTCAGAATGCATGGGCAACGGAAGGGGAGTTGGTCTGTCTTGTTTTGAGCCAGGTCCGTCACTGCTGCTCGGGCCAGTCCGCCGCAGAAAGAATTGAACTTCGCTGCCATGCTGGCCTAACTTAGCCAGAGACTCCAGAGGCTTCTCTGTGGCCAGCAGCTGCCTCTCCGTGTCCCTGAGACGCTGGATCAGAACATAACGGCCTGTCTGACCTGGAGACAGAGACAGAGAGACACAGAGTGAGCGCAAGTGAACGTCACAAAACCAAAATTGGAAAATTATAGTTCATATATTTGTAAAATCTTATTGATGAGTTGCTTCACAAAGATCTTTTCCTTCTTTACGCACATAAAGCTGGGGGTTCTAAGTGAGCAATGATATGTGAATAAACATCAGGCACATTGTAATGATGCTGATACTTCTAAATCTCTGTCTCTGAGGACTGGAATAAAAGGCTGCTGCGTCAGACTCACACAACATGTAAAAAAAAAAAAATTCAAATAACTTCAAGTTTCCACGAGGACCTTGAAATTAGGACAAACCCTCCCTGACGACTTGGCAGGTAGCTTCACTCATAGACGGAGAGGAGCGCTAAATCTGAGTTGTGTTGTTCAAAGCTACTGCATCGTACGGCTTGAGCAAAAATGCAGGATACTTGGGACAGAGAGTCAGAAAAAATGTATACTGAGCTCCTGGATGAAAAGTTGAGGGCAGAACTCGATTGCAGCAATCGTAACACCGGTGTGTTTCATCTAAATTGTATGAATTGTTGTTTTCTTTACCATAGAATAGGCTCTTTATATTTAAATACTTCATATTTACATGGAGGGGGGGTCCTCTCTGTGGAGGCCGCCATGTTTTTTTTACTGTCGTCCAAACTGGACAAACTAAAACCTTTTGAGTTTTTCTGACAACTGAAGTTCACCACACGCTCTCCTTCATGTTTGGAAGGGGAGGGTGAGGTGAAGTGTATTCAGCTGCAACATGAAACTTCAACTCTAGATGTCA